CCCAAATTGAAGTGGATGTTTAGCAGTAAATCCTCAGTCTAGGTTGAGTATTTCAAATACCAGATTCTTGTGATCTTATTCATCAGTGCTTCATAATAGACCAATGTCTCCAATCCTTTGCCTGGATAATATTTCACCAACAGTTTTTGTTGTTATTGTTGTTGCTTTGTGTTCTTACTAAGATTTCATGTTTTCAACTGGTATGTTACAATTGATAAATAAAGTGTATAAAATGAGACTTTCTTATTATCTCAAAGATGTCCTGTGGCCCCAGAGATGTGGATAATGGATGAAGCACTAAGAAAGTCTTTGAAACAGACTGAAGGGTGTAAGAGAATTCCTTGAGAGTCTTTGTGGAAGCCTCTCAGTCACTTTCCACTGCTAGTACAAAACACCCAACACTCTCAGCTTAAAGAGGGTGAGGTTTATTTAGGCTCACATGTGAGCCCAGTGTCACCTGGCTCCACGGAGCTTTGTGGAAGGGCCTGGGCAGAAGACAACTGCTCACGCCCTGTTGGCAGGGCAGCAGAGGGAGTGAAGAGTTGGGTGGGAGAGAGTTGGGCCAAGAATGTTCCCTTCCAGGTCACAGTCCCAGTGCCTATCTGCAACCAGCCCCCTAACAGCACGTTAGGTATTATGACCCCAATATCCAATTACCTTCCATACATGAGATTTGGAGACTCTTTTAGATCTAAATCATGACAAAGAAGAATAGAAAAGTGGAGGACATTTACCACCTCCGCCGCCATGGGAGCAAGGGAGGTACTTAGAGGATGTTGGTCATTCATCAGAATAGGTGACTGACTCCTCCCCTGACCATGAGTCCAAAACTGTAGAGTCCTGCAGGGCTGCGCAGGTGGATACAAGACCAATGCACAGGGAATTTCAGGGAGCACTTGAGTTTGGAGCACAGAAGTTTCTATTGTCGCCATGATAAATTCAAGATCAAGAAACAAACTGGGGACTGAGGTGTTCATGAGAGCCAAATACAGAGATACCAGTCAGCAGCGAGACAAGATGCACTTCACATTGCTGGAAAAGCAGTGAGTGAGTTTTCCTGTGGACCACGTGGATATGTTAGATTAGCTGAGCTTGAGTCATCTTGAAAAGATCCACACCATGACTACCTGCCTAAACAATCCAGCAGGCAGGATACTCATAGAGCAGAAAATAAGAGCTCTGTGAGTGGATAATGGGACACTTCCCCCCAGGGACAGGGCAGTGTGTGAGTCTGGGGCATTTGAAACTACCTTTAGGAACATTCAGTGTGTTTGTGTCATGAAGGAAATAGAATTTCCATAGCAAAGATAGAGAATCCAGTGTACAGGTGTGTAAGTTGATATGCTGCCATCTGCTTTACGTGCCTACATTTTCTTCTAGACTATGTTAGCCCACTTCATAATTGAGTGTAAAATCCTTGGAAATTATCTATTAAGGAATAACTAATTTTGAATTTATGAAAATTGAAAATGTTTTTTTTAGTATAGTTCCTTTCAAAAACTGCAAGTAGTGTCAAAAAGAAGATCAGAGCATTCTTAACCATACAAAAGGGGATTACCTTAAAGTACGGGGTTAAAACTTTACAGGGCCAGGGATGCAGCTCAGCAGCACAATTGTCTGCTTCAAGTGCAAGGCCCTGAGTTCGATTGCTGGTACCAAAACAATCTGCTTTAAAAAAAGAGAAAGCAGAAGGCAAGCCAGGGAGAAAGTGGACAAAAATCAGTGGCATTGCGTTGCCTCAGCTAGACCTGGAAAGATTCCTTCAGGGCAAGTTACCCAATCACTAGTTTTTTGTTTGTTTGTTTTTGTTTTCTGGGGATGTGCCTATGTGATTTTCTATCAAATGCTCTCTATCATGTGAATCTTATTATGTTCACTTCCTAATTATTGTACAGCTTTCTCCAGTGTTCAGTATACTCTTTCTGCTCTTTTCCCTGTTATCATGTGGTTTTATCTACTAACATTCAAATATTGTCATGATTTAGATCTAGAATGTCCCCCCAAATTCTCATATGTTCAGAGGCAGAGTTTTGGAAAAGTCATTAATCAGTGTGGGATCATTATCACACCAGTGAATTAATCCATTGATGAGTTCATGACTAAATATGCTATTAGCAGGAGGGGCCTAGGTGGAAAAGATGTGTCACTGAGGTGTGCCTGGGAGGGAATATTCCCACTCAGCTCCTCCTCTCTCCTTGGCTGCCATAAGATGAGCAGCTTTATTCTGCCATGGCAATTTTTGCTTTGAGAAAGCACAACCAACTATAGACTGAACATTCTACAAACCTTAAGCCAAAATAAACCTCTTCTCCTTTATGTTGTCCTAGAGGCAGGAGGGTAGCAAGCATAGGCACATAGATACTTCAGAGAAAAGGTAATAGTTCTGATGGGTTCTTCATTATTCCTAAGATTTTATGTACCATCCATTTAAAGAACACAGTGTCAAAAATTTTTTACATATAGGGCCAGGGCATAAGCACCAGCCTGGCAAGTGTGAGGTCATGAGTTCAATCTCTGTTACTAAAAAAAAAATTTTTTTTACATGTTCGATTTTTCTCTGATATCTGAATCTTGGCATGATTTTCATGGTAAATACAAGGAAGAGTAGTATTAGTTAATATATATATTTTGTCTTGGCATTCTGTGGTTATCTGCAGACTCAAGTTGATGGAAACGAAAATTGTAGAGGAAAAGTGTTCTTTCCACTTTCCTAACAGTATTGTTTTAGCTTCTTTCTCTTGCTGAGACAAAATACTCAATATCCATAAGATATAGGAGGAGAAATTTATTTTAGCTCACAGTTGTATGGGTTTCAGTCTATGGTCAGCTGTCTCCAAGGCAAGGCAGCATGCCAGAGAGGCATGACAGAGGAAAAGTAGTCCTTGGCAAGGTATCCAAGAAACAGTAGGCAGTCATACTCTCCCAAGACACACCACAGTGACCCATCTCTCCCCACCAGGCTTCAACTCCCAATGTCACACCCAGGGATACGCCCACAAGTAGAGTAATCCAGAATCGCATACCCAAGATCCAGGGACCTCCCAAAAGGCCAACCTATGAGTGCATGAGGCTTTGGGGAGACATCTTTATGGAAGCCTTAACAAGTATTTCAATGGGACAATACATGCCATTGAAATATGATTAATTCCAAATGTAGAAGTTGATCAAGGCAGGTACTGATCAAAGAGAAGACTGATATTCTGGCATTATCTACATTCCTGTGTCAACTTGTCATTGTGTTCAAATTTCATTTATGCACATACATGAGATCATGCTCCGTGGATTCATTATTTGTAATCATATTTGATTGGACATTATAATAGGAATGTGAATAATTTAATGCCAAGTGTTAATAGTTGATTTGCATGCAAGAATTTTAAGATCTATGGAATGAGTATATATTTGGGCCTTTCCATCACATGGGACAATGTTGTTTTTTCTTTTTCAGCTATAAAATAAATTTCCATTTGTCATTTCCTTAGGAAATGAACATAAACTGCATAAAATATCAGTTTCAATAACCTAAGTAAATGTTGTCATAAGTTTATCTTTTGTTGAAAATATCCAGGTAGATGACTATAAATAATAATCACATGACTACTAAATTTTAAGCTATCATACTTAAATTAACTCATTTGGAGTCTGGTTTTTGTTTTGGATAAAATACTTTCCAAACAAAGATTTGTTCAATATTTATATATAGTACAGGCAGGTCCAGCAGAGCACCAGCAAACATTCAACATTTAATATTGTGGCATTATGATGGATGGCAGTGCAACCCTTTCACATATCAATCCTCCTCCAACTGCAGCCATATTATTGTGCTTCTCAAAATAATTCAATCACCACTGCCTCTGAAGCATTTCACAGTTAAACAGTAATTCACAGAGATCTATCTGCCAGTAACTCTTAAACTTTTTGTTACCTTGATGTCATTTTTCATCATTCCTCAATGTTTGCATCCCATATTTATCATAGCATATATTTGTTGATGCAGTTAACTAATAGTTATTGTTCACTTGCTATAAACCATGGATACATTTCTGAGATTTAGCGTAAATTTTAAGATGCTTTATAGGGCATACAAAGTTCTTTACTTCCTGCAAATTACAAACTAGGCTTCTTTCCTTTATTCTCAAAATAAAGAGCATTGATTCATTTAAATTGGAATCAAGGACTGAAGAATTTTTGCTGTAGCCTTAAGGTACACTTGAAGTATTAAAAAAAGTTTAGAATCATTGCCTAATAAAATTTTGAACTATAAAATACCTATGAATGAAATGAGTTATGTACATTTATTGTGCTTATCTGGGCAGAGTAAAATTCTTCAAAAACCAGTAATGATTATCTAAAACGAGTGTCTGCTGAATTTGACTATGGCTACAATTTGTTGTGAAATGCAAACTAAATTATTTTTGCAGTGCTTAAGTGCCTAATAAGTAAGCCTACTGTGCAGTAAGCATTTTATGTCTCTAAGGTAAAACTGCGTCAGATTTTTTCTCAAAAAGAATAAACTCCAACTAGATTCTCTGAAGAAGCAAAAAGTGAGCATCATCTAATAAGAGACTTCACTTAGCTTCTACCCTTATTTTTCCATTGTGTAAATTAAACACTTAATCCTCACTTCAGAATGCATGCAGTGAGAAGTAACAGGATGAGTGTGTGAGTGAAGTAATGATTAACTGGTGTGAGGGACACATGAGAGGACAATTAACATGTGTTATGTACAAATACCAACTTTCCATGATAAATGTAATCACTATGTACTGCAAACATGTAATAAAAATTTTTAAATAGAATAATGAACTTTTATTTTCATACATAAAACAGAAAGAGGTAGTGTTTTGCAATGTATATCAGGGCCACCAAGGGATATAACAGCACTTCCTGAAATCTGTAGGTATAAAGATTAATAGCATATTGCTAAAAAAAAAAAAAAAAAAAAAAAACCTGCCATGCTTCTTTTCACTTAATTTTCTCCCTGCTTTGTTTCTTTGCAGAACGATTCAATGTTTATCTCATGCCTACACCAAATCTGGATATTTATGGTGAATGCACTATGCAGATCACTCATGAGAATATCTATCTCTGGGATATCCACAATGCCAAGGTCAAACTGGTGATGTGGCCTCTCAGCTCCCTAAGGAGATATGGTCGAGACTCAACATGGTTCACTTTTGAGTCTGGAAGGTAAGCTCAAAAGCAGAGACCAAGCTCCAGAGGTGTGGAACAGATTCCAGAGAAAAAATTTCCATCCTAACTTGCGAGGGATGCCCTTTATCTCTCTAAAGGTTAGAAGTTAACAAAAACAAATGTTCTCCGGGGCTGGGGATTTAGCTCAGTGGCATAAGCGCCTGCCTTGCAAGCAGGCAGTCGTGAGTTCGATCCCTGGTACCGATAAAAAACGAAAAAAACAAATGTTCTCCAGATTCTTATTGATTAATATGAAAGAAAAGTGTTCTAATTCTTAGGACAGACTAGTCACCCCATTCAAACTAAATTTAGTCTTTATACTAACATCAAGTTGTTTTGATAATGCAGTGTATCTTACAATAGTAGCATAATACTGGTTTTTGTCTTATGCTCATACAAGAAGATTACCATAAAATTAAATATGCCCTTGCATTATTTTTGTGAGTTCATATCTACAAGCAATAGAAAATGGTGTTTTTATAAAATTGTCACTTTTTAGGTTTGTAGTGAGTTATGTCACTCATACATCCAGATGTTTATGTTAATGACATTAGTAGTTAAGTATTATATCAATTTAGACTGAAGAAATATTGGCATATCCGTAATTATGAAGTGTGTAACTGATATTTTAAACCTAGTATGTCAGGGCAAATATGTTGGTTTTTCCGTCATACCATATGTTAGAATCTGTAAATGTTTAAAACAAATGCTTGCTTCACAATTATTATTCATAGATTTAATCATAAGCTGCAACCAACAAAATCAATTTTTTTTTTGCTATAACCCTTTTGATATTGTCATCTGGTACTCAAAATATGACTTAGATTTTTGGATTCCATATAAGAAAAATATGTTTAATTCATCAGTCTTCACGTAGTAGACGTGATTTTCATATTGTAAAAATGAATCCATACTCCTAAAAAGGAATTATTAGTGTAGTTTCCTTGCATTTAGGGTAGCAATTTTAAGTCCTAAATTTCTCTTGAAAAAACTGATATTTACTCAAGGTATATTCAAATAATATCCATTTAGGGTAGATTATGTATCTTTTAAAATTTTAAAGAGAAAAGAAAAACCTGAGCTAAAATAATTTTACCAGTTTTTATATATTTGTACCAAGGAAATAGTAAATATATTAAATTCTCCACCCTTCTGATTTCTCTGAAGAATCTTGGTCTTTTGTTAATTAGTAGCTAGGATCACTTTCACTGATCTATTTTTTTCCTACCTAAAATTTGAAAGTAATGATATTTGCTTTATGGATAACTGTTGAAAAATAAAAATTCTAATTTTTTAAATAGTGTGCCTTTTTAGAAAGGCACACTATGTAAAAATTACATGATTATGAAAAAAAAGAAATTACATTTTTATAGAATCATCCACCTAAAATCTATGATACATTGGGTGTTTTTTTTTACTGACCTTAAAATTAAAGATAGATATAGATATAGATGCATTTTTGAGACAGGGTCTCACTACATAGTTTGGCCTGTATTTGAACTCATCATGTAGCCCAGCCTGGCCTTGACCTCACAATTCTCTTGCCTCTGTCTCCTGAGTGATGGGATTGGGTGCTTGTGCCCCGCACCAAGCTGTTTGCCTGTTAACTTCCTCCTCATGCTCAGGGACACCATGTCCAGGCTGCCTTCTGTCTGTCTCCTCTGTATGCCTCTCTTCCTTTTCTTATGTAGAGCAGTTTGATTCTTACCTGCCTTGTCATTAGAAGAGGCTTCTTGCTCATAGTTTCGATAACAAGTAGGTTAGTTTTTTTCTTGGTTATTCAGAATTTTCATCCCATTTATAGCCCTCTGCATTAGGTTTTGATAATTTCATTTTCTGTATTCTATTTTGTATTTTCATTTCATATTTATGTTTTTGGCAATGTCTTATTCTTTCAAAGTCTTTAAGGAAAGTTAATTGACTTTCCACAAGATTTAATATCGTTGTTCTCAACCAGAGTTCCAATTTACTTCGTATACATGCTGATTTGTCTAACGCATGAGTTGATTTCCTGTGAGCATGATGATTTCTAATGTCTTTAAAACATATGAGAAAACACAAGTATATCAGAATACACAAAGACCAGTAATCTTCAAAAATTCTTATTGATTTGGATAATTTTTATTTCTTGTTTACCAGAAGAGCTTTTTTAAAAATTAGCATTTGAATTCTAAAAATCATCTTAATCTCCTAGGAATTAAAATTAAATTTAGATCACAGGTCTGTCAGTTAACCATAAAACTCAGATTTGTGCTCCCCTGTAGTTGCGTTTTCTTCTTTGAATTAGGAAAATTATAATTTTCTGTTTTCTGTCCATGTTTAAGGAGACTGACTGAGTTACTCTGTGAAGCTGTGAAGCCTCAGTCTTGCTGCATCATGGGCATTTAAGATCATGACCATTTCCTTTTTGTTGGTACAGTGTGTCTGTTTCTAGTTTCTGAGTGAAGCTTCTCCTTCAGTCTTCCAACTCCCTCTGTGCATAATTTTAGCTAAAGACGGAAAATGTGGGCCAAAATAAGCCAAATGCACACCTTGGGAGAGACTTGCCTTCAAAGCTTAAGGGGTAATTATGAATCCTGCTTTAGAAACAGAAATCAGGGTTACTTGCATGAGTCAAGAATTTGTGGCTCATTGTGAACATCAAACTGGCACATTAAGACTTCGGAGAACAGAAAGAATGAAAATACTGAACAGTTGTTTTGCTTTCTAACTGGGGCTGAGAGAAAACTGTGAATTAGTACTGCAGATGTCTGTTTCATTAAGAGTCCACAGGATATAAGGACTCTAATTTACAGAGTGTAATTCTTTGGAATGAGTTTATGATTCCATATTACTGTCCTTGGGAAAATTATATTATAGAGCAATGAAAATCAAACTTCCATACACTAAAAATTATTAAAGGAAATACTAAACAAGTTTATTTTGATAAAATATTAAAGATAAAAGCATAGTAGCTGCACATAAGGTTTGTATGCAAATTTGATTTGATTTGATATGAAGTAAAATTTTATTTTCAATTGAAAGTAAAAGTTTAAAAACGTATCTTCCAATGGCATGAAAATGAAGTAAGTATAACTGCATTTAATGCATTATGTGCATTGTATGTGAAAAACTGTAAAACAGTTTAGAGAAATTCTTAAAAATCGATAAACAATATGCACATGTTCAAAACCTAGAAGGTTCTATATTTTAAGATGGTGGTCTTCTAATTAATATATAAATGTTATGTATTCCTCTAAAAGAATGTCAAGACCGGAATATAGCTCAGCGGCACAGGGCCTGCCGGGCAAGTGCAAAGTTGTGAGTGCAATTCCCAGAACCAAATACAAACAGACAAACAAGCAAACAAAGAACCAATAAAAGAATATCTACTGCATTTTCTGAAATATATTACAAGCTGATTCCAAAATGAACTTGGATTTGCAAAAGACCTAAAATACCCAAAAAACTTAAAAGATCATAACTAAAGGAATTTAATTACCTAATTTTAAGGTAATTAAATTACCTTACCTTAATTAATTAAATTACCTTGTTGCACACCTAATAAATAATATAGTATAATATTAACATAAGGATCAACAGGGAACAATGAAGTGATCATATATATATATATATATATATATATATATATATATGATCAAAATGTATATACCTGTGATCAAAATATATAGTGAATGTTTGACTTTTTAAAAATGTTTTATACTAAAAGACATATTGCCATCAGTCCCTCTCAAAACTCTCCCCCTCACTTTGAATACACGTATTCAGTTCTTCTTGCTACTTTCTAAACAGTTTCTAGAAGTAGTTCTGAATCAGTTGCATTTTTGTGAGTGTCTTTACAAAGTCTGACCAATACGGCAGTAAATGCTGCTGCCCTGTGCCATCATACAAAAACGTTTGAATGGTTAGCAGTGAGAGTTTATCGAAAACAATCCATTGGAAAGAATGGTTACCAAGAAGAGCACAGAGAAACCCCAAGCCTCTCTGGATGTGGGTACCTTGTGTGAGTTGCTAGCAGGTCATTGTTCCTAGGTACATATGGCAAGATTAGAGATCTATTTTCATAACCTGGACAAGTTTAGGACTTTCTCAACTTTTTAAAAATAAATCACTTTTCCTTACTATTGAGATTTTGTGTATCTTATATTATCTAATTTTAAAAGTCAGTGCTAATTTTTGAATATGTGAGAAGAAAAAGCTTAAAAATCACTTGAAATATCTCCTTATTCAGATAACTGCTTTTCAAATTTGAATGTACTCCTGTTAGATGTATTTTAAAATGAATATAAAAATACTTACCCTTTTCTTGATATTTATTTAGAATCCTTTAAAATTAACAATCTAATGATGCTATGAGGTCTAAAAATATGGTTATGGTATCATTAATTTAGCATTAAAATGTTACCAAAAGGAACTACAATAAGTAAGTCCAAACTGACCATCTGTGAAAGATTTGAAAATCCATTACATTCTTAACAGGCCCTTGCTAAATAATTATTGAATTGCTAGGTCAAAACATGTGAACCTTATACAGGTTATTTGCAGTATACAAATTGCTTTCAAGAAAAGCAAAATCCACTTTCATAGTGAAAAAAAGATACCCTTTCTGTTCCCAAAAATACCCTTAAAACAAATGATGTTTTAAGGTTTTTCTGTTTTGTAAGAGCAATTTGCAAACTTTCTTTTCGCTCCTCCTTTGTTTACTTTTGAGATTGGAGGGTTTTTTTTTTTTTCCTTTCCATATTTCAGGCACCCTATTCCCATTAATGATGAGATACTGGTTACAATGTTGGGCATCTGTCAAAAATTCAAGATGTTCTCATTCTCGTTAAAGGAAACCACATACAGAAATGTTTTTTCCACATTTGAGCCAGAGAAATACAAAGGAAACATGCTTCCTGGATCTGATCTGGTGGGAGAGTTTTCTAGTAGCAGGGTTCAGGGCAATTTAGAGTACAGATCTGAGAGAGAGGCATGGCCAATCATCCCTGCAAACC